TTTTATTTTAAAACAAAATATAGAAAGAGTTATTCCTCTATTTTGAATTTTTCAGTGACAATTTTGTAGTCTGGAATTTAGTCTGATGAATGGAAATCAAGATATTAAAAATGTACTGTTTTGGTATTTTAATAAATAAAAAAGTTATACAACATAATTACTATCTACCCTTTTTATTTATTTGAAAAGTATCTTTGTTATTACAATCGTTCTCCTTTCAATGGCTTTACTGCTCCTACACGATAACGCGCGACCTCATATTGCACAGCAGATGGTCTCCACGCTACAAGAGCTGGTCTTGGAAGCTATCCGTCATCCGCTGTACTCTCCAGACTGTGTGTGGGTTCAGACATCTACTTTTTCTAGAATTTAAAAAGCTTTTTGGCGGAAAATAATTCATCATTATAGTAAAATGCCTTTGAAGAAATTGGTCCACATGATTTCTTCAAGCAGAGCATCAATGACCTACCAATGCGTTTTCAAAGGTGATTACTTTGATTATTAAAAAGAAAAAATACATGAAAAATTGACAATTTCTTTTTCTGCTTGTCCTTTCTTTACATTTTGAGTGTCACAGTATTCACATAACGTCATCACCAGTTTTAGTACTTGGGCTTGTGACGATATCATAGTGTTCAGGTATACGTAGGTACACATCGGAATGACAATGACATCCCACCCAAACAACAATATTTTAAATAAAATTTGTGAAAAATATGATTTAATAACGAGACTAGTATTTGCAATATTGGTCAAAAAAGTTTCAACATGGACACTAAAAATATTACTTTGTGGTTCTGTACTTATCTGGTTGTGGTTAGATAATGAGATGTTCCAGTACTTCAGACATTACTGAAACTTGGTACCTAATGTCATCACTAAAATACCTAACTATGAGTAAAAAAATAACTAGGTGCCATACTTTCTAATGAACTGAGTCTGCAACCCGAATATTTATCATCATGATAAGCTAGTGAGAGTTTACTGCTGCAGTATGGGCGTCCCTAGTGTAAAACTGGGGTAGGTGGTCTTCAAACTTTATGCTGGACAAGTGATAAATACCTAACTTGCCCATCTTTATATCACCATAGTAAGTAAATTATAAGCTAAGCCTTACAAAACCATTGTAATGGTTTGACTGTGGGGTCAATGAGTCAATGAACTAAGCAATTATATGATAAATATGGTATAGAAGAAACTTAAAATATTTCTAAATAATTGGTATACAAGTTATCACAACTTAAAAGCTGAGTTTTGTCGTTTTTAAGTATCTTACGGACTTAGTAAGATCCAGATCTTTAGGTTGCAGAGTTCAACCAACAAATAATGTTCCCTGTTATTGGCAAATATGTATCTCGTTACTTTACTGATCGATAAAGTGATTACCGAGAAAAGGGTCCTATCATTATATTATGAAAAGCTTTATTCACCATTATTTTTATATGCTTATGAGTTTACTGGATATTTCTATTGGGTTTGTATAATTCTGACCGCAAACAGTCTTGTCTAATTAGTTATTATGTAAGAGCAAGTTTTAGCCTGCGGCTATGTTCGCGTAAAAGTAACAAAGCCGCCTTCATTGATACGCGTGCGTATCTACAAAAATGATAATCATTACGAAACAAATCTTTTTTCAGTTATTGATTCAGCTCGCATTGGGAGCGCGCCTCAAAAAGCTATCAGGTCACCACAGATGGGGTCTTTTAAGGCTGGCTAGTCTTGCCGGAGTTGTAGGTGTAGGTGTAATTATGTACCACGTCCTGGTTCGGAATTGAAGAGGGAATGGGGAAGTTTATAGCATGTAAAGCAAGTGTGGTGTAAATGTGAGAGAGCTATGCTTAGTGTGGGAGAGCCATGCTTCAGCACGTATCGGTCGACCGAAGGGTAAGGATGGGGTCTCCAGTAACTTCACTCACATAGCGAATCACAATTCTGTGATTGTTTCACAACGGTTTTTTTTTGAGGCCGTGGTATTCCACGACCCATTTGTGCCGAAGCATGGCTCTCCCACAAGTCATCACCAACTTATCATATCACATCCTACTTATGATAGATAGCCATCACTGTCATAAAAATCTTGAAATTACATCTCGTATTGTTTTCTGAATTCAAAGAGAGATTTTTAACCAATTTGGTTAACGGTTGGTTGCGTTACCCACACTGTGGTTACCCATGTGACAGACACATTATTATATTTACATTGAAAAAACAAACATAATTTGATTAGGTAATTATTTCTTTTGTTTGTTAGTCGTCGAGATTGAAGACAGATTAAAATGGCTTCGTTATGAGAAGGAAGGACGATTAATAAAATGTTTTTGAGTTTTTTCTAGTAAAGACCTATACATTTTATATTGTCCTTCTTATAGTCAGATATAAACCGTAACCGCAAGCCATCAAAAGGATGTGTTGTGGCATCAGAGCAGCAGTCAAAAGTCAAACTCAAAAGTCAAAAGTCAAAATCATTTATTCCAACTAGATAGACCATCAACAACTACTTATGAGAAGTCAAAATATAATATAGTCAGTTCGTCAGTGAAGCTAAGTGCTCGTCCCAAAGATTTAAAAGGAAAAGAATGAGCATAAACCTCCCTCGTTACTTTTTTGAATCACCAACACTCATTTTTCCATTGGTACAGTAAGAGCAGACAAAGGGATTGTTGTGTTACACATTTAGCAGATACAGGACAGCAAGGCTAAATTAATAGACGCACTTTACAAAATTCAAAAATGCAATGTTTTTTTAACCCACCTATCATTGAGATTATGGAAACATTTAACTTGATGTAGGTCAGATCGATTTTCCGCACTTCGTATCCAACCTTTGGCAGCCATTCTGCTAATATCGTCGGTCCACCTAAATGGAGCGCTCTCCGTACATCTCAGACGATATCTGCAAACTTAGTGTAGGAAGCGCCCTATACAAAGTTTTCCTATACGTGTTCTGCACTCCAGGACACCTTTTCCCCTAGGGTTGAACGATCGTCGGTTCTTTTAAAATGTGATTTACCCACTGGAACTTCAGGTTGTTAATCCTTTGGGCTATCTCGTAAACTTTAGTTCACTGTCGGATCACCTCTTTATAGATAGAACTCCATAGACCAAATGCATAGAAATAAAATACCTTTTACTAACTGTAATACTATATTTTCAAGACCATTTTGCTAGATGTAGGTAACTTATGTAAGTCAGCTTAAAATCATTATTTACATCCATGATAGACTAAGATTTCCGTATGAATAAATCGAATACATATTAAACTGGTTTTCAGAAATATACTTAATACCTCAGCTTGAGTCGCATTAACGGCCAACAGATAAGAAGGGATACAAATGGAAAAGTACCTAAGTCATATAACTTAACCTAATAAATGATATTACAGTGTAATAAATTCTGGAACTATTTATTTATGATAGCAATTACATTTCAAGTCGCTGTTTAAACCTAACCGACCATTCTGCAGACAGTTCTGGTTCAGTGCAATAATTTAAGTACCGCAGCCCTGGGCTGGAGCAGAACGGGGCATTTTCTGAATCCCTGAGAGGGTGAGAGAATTTTCAAAGACAATCTTACCTTAACTGCCTGTTCTTTAATTTACCGCCTCAATTTCTAATTCAGCCATTTGATTTAAATGTGACTACTGAATCAGTCCGTTAGTCGAACCCGTCAACATCCATCTTGGTTCGTACCTATAACGTTGATTTGTTCGATTGAACTTGTATACAATACTCCTCATAAGTGTTTTTAAAAAGCTCGTTGGCAGGCTGTTACCTCCTTCCTGTATGATAACTGGGATATCAAAATCATACGATAGAGGCGTTGTCAGAGATAATAGTTAATTATGCCAAGATAAATTCATTAGTTTGTTCTCATCTCAACTAAATATTAATATTATACACATACAATTACCATCGATATCTACCTATAGCAATAACAATTTTTCTTACGATAGGTCGGCAAACGAGAAGACTGATTTCCTGATGGTAAGCAATCAGTCAACAACTGAAGAGTTTCGATTCCGTTGTCGGCCTTTTAGGAATTAGGGTTTCGAGATACAGAGAAGATATTTTTTTTTCTTTATGTTAACTATATTTATAGGTCAAAACTCTGCAAATAACGTGTCACAAACAACTTTTACCACTTAAAATAATTGTCATAGAATTCAAAATACAAAAGCACAAGAAGTTTGACCATAGTATACAGTAAGTACTACTTGTATTTGTTATAACATACTGTTATGTATAACACAAAGTGTTTATGGGGAACTTCATTCATGGTTACGTATAGTTACATAAGTTAACTGGACTTGGATTACCGGACTATCATAATATCAAAATAATTACGTAGCTGTGTGTGTGATGTGAACGTTTTAATGATTTTAGGCTTTTTAAATAAGTTACAAGATCTTCATTTCTTTTCTTAGGCACACTTGTGAGGCCTATGTCCTTTGCTTGAAAGTGGCCAGATGATAGTAATGACTCTCGTTGCAGGATTTGTAGGAACCTTTAGAATATTTTCAACGATACTTTAGCCAATTATGGCAGCTGTCAATCATCTATACCTAACTACTTAGGATTATTAAACCTTTAGCATCGTGTTCAGGACAAGTTCAATAACCCTGACCATTTTAAAAATTGCTAACTATTTTGTTCTGATAGAAAATATCACATATTAGCTATAATCAACAAGTCTGAAACAGTTTTTAGCGTGTCCAAGTGTAATTAAAAGTTCGCGTTACAAAAACAGAAAATAAAAATGCAAAGACAAGGTAATTATGTTCGTAGTTCATACTTAGATTAAGAAATCTACGTAGCCTTTGACGACAGTCGTATGTGGTAAATATTCTGAAATCATATTTTAGCATTATGTCCGTGGATAGACAAAATTTTAATTACAAACTTATATTATCAATATAAAATAAACCGCATGGAGTAGGGGTTTTGTACATTCACTGTCATATAAAAGGCTTCGGCGATGGAGACAGCTCATAAGAGTAGTTTCGTTCGTTCCGTCAGTACCAGGAGAAGCAGAGAAGGCGCGACCTTTACAGCACCTTCACTCCCCACGCATCATGGCTTCCCGATTAGCCGTGAGTAACATCACTATTTACGCGAGTTTGCGAACTTACTTCCGGATTCGAGCGCAGCGGACGTTTCGGGTATCGATATATCGCACCCATCGCTGTGATCTATCGATACCTATCGATTTAAAAAAAATAAGTGGCATGTTGATAAAGTTTGACGTTTAATAATTGTGGATTATCAGTTATCGGTTATTAAATAATTATATTTTTATGTAAAGTCACACACAATTTAGTGGTAAAATTTTACAAAAAAAAAACATTTTCACAGTAAGAAAAAAATTGGTAGGAAAATAACAAGTTAATTATAGAGAAACATGTTTGATATGTGTGGACGGATTCACAGCGGTCTCATTAGAGAGTTTTGATTATGGAGTGCAAGTTTATGTAACGCGATTGTTATGAGACCTGCTACGTCCATATCCAACGAGATTACTGTAGCAGCCCACATCTGGCACTGCACTGACCACTTTCATTTTGATATTAAACATATCTACACAGTAATCAGGGAACAGGGTCCATACACAAACGTGCACTAATTACATGTTATTACAGCGATTATGCAAACTAAATGGGTATTTACGTTATAATTTCAGCTGAGCTGCTTTCTACTGGCTAGCGTTGGCGTCTGCCTGGCGACTTTTGGACATGAACAGTTAGTATTACTATGTTCCCTTATCTTGAAAGATTTCTCCAAACACAAGTTTGCACGCGGTAGTATCAGTGATGAACTATTATTTACGCTACAAGTTGATGGAACCGCAAAAAATATTGTGGATGGAGCAATTTGGTTGAGATTTCTATAACGATTCTCACGCTTCTTCATTGCGGTAAATGGTGAAAACTGAGCTATTGTGTTTTAATGATAGAGCTACACTATACCCTTGCACTAGGTTTTCACTGTACCGCGTTTGACCTGCTGGCTTTGCGATCTATTGTTCCTCATTTAGGTATGTTATTATTCATTTATTTGTGTAAAGGTGCTGTTGCATATAAATATCAAAATGCGAACATTGTTAGAAGAGCGGAATCAAGAACGTTTTATATTATATGCAGTACCCAAATAACAAATTTTTTCTATTTGTTTCAGTGTTCATATTCGGGTGCATATACCTGAAGAGCATCACTCTTCCAAAGAAGTGGTAATACATGAAGACCACGGACACGGCGGCGGCGGCGGTGGCTACGGAGGCGGTGGAGGCGGAGGCTTCGGGGGCGGGCACGGAGGTGGCCATGGGGGTGGTCACGGCGGCGGTGGTGGCGGCCATGGAGGATCTCTTTCTGATCACCTGCACGGAGGCTTCGCCGACTACTTGAAGGGTGGTGGTGGTCACGGAGGTGGTGGCCACGGAGGACATGGCGGAGGCTTCGGCGGTGGGTCTGGAGGAGGATTTGGAGGTGGCCATGGCGGTGGCCACGGAGGACACGATTTTGGAGGAGGATACGACTCGGGTGGTCACGGAGGCGGTGACTTAGGAGGACATGGCGGTGGTGACTTTGGTGGACACGGCGGCGGTGACTTCGGTGGACATGGCGGCGGTGACTTCGGTGGACATGGAGGTGGAGACTTCGGTGGACATGGCAGCGGTGACTTCGGTGGACACGGAGGTGGTTTAGGGGGAGGATTCGGTGGCGGCCACGGAGGAGGATTCGGAGGTGACTTCGGGGGCGGCCATGATGACCACGGTCACGGTGGAGGTCTAAGCGGTGGATTCGGCGGCGGGTATGGCGGCGGTCACGGTGGTGGCGGCGGACATGATGACCATGGTCATGGCGGCGGTTTCGGAGGAGGCCTAGGAGGCGGATTCGGAGGTGGCTTCGGAGGCGGCCATGGAGGTGGCGGCGGTGGCCACGACGAACATGATCATGGTGGTTCATTTGGAGGTGGATTCGGCGGAGGTTTTGGAGGTGGTCATGGAGGATCAGGCGGCGGTCATGGCGGTGGTCATGGAGGTGGCTTCAGTGCCAGTTTCGGAGGTTTTGGAGGAGGAATTGGAGGAGGACACGATGACCATGGCAGCAGCTTTTCTGGCGGACATGACAGCTACAGTGTAGGAGGCGGAGGTGGTTATTCATCTGGAGGCCACGGAAGCTCAGGTCTGGGAAGTTTCGGTGGTCATGGCGGCGGTATCGACAGCTACAGTATCGGCGGCCATGGAGGCGGCGGCGGCGGCGGCCATGACAGCTACAGTATTGGAGGTCACGGCGGCGGTGGTGGCGGCGGCGGCCATGATAGTTACTCCAGTGTAAGCTTCGATTCTTTCGGCGGAGGCGGCGGCCACGGAGGTCACGGCGGCGGTGACAGCTACAGCATCGGAGGAGGACACGGTGGTCATGGAGGCGGAGGAGGATTTGGAGGTGGCGACAGTTATAGTGTCGGTTTTGGAGGCCACGGATCTGGGGGTGGCGGCGGCGGCCATGGCGGCGGCGGCCACGGGGGATTCAGCTTAGGTGACATCGGAGGAGGCCATGGAGGTCACGCCGGTGGAGGCTTCGGCGGTGACAGTTACACAAACGCCCTGGGCGCTGGCCACGGCGGCGGGCCCTACCATAAGCGAAAGTAACACACACAACCCAACTAAGTCATAGTCCTCAGACGCCCATGGATAGTGTATCCGGTGCTATATAGTACAACATTGTTATTGTAAATAGGTTATACATTAAGTTATTGTTGTTTGTTTAATTAAACGTTATTTAATTTTTAATTTAACTTTTATTTCTTTTTAGAGATTCAACCATAAAGTCACTAGAATGGTGACGATTACTCATAAACTAACGTAAATATATAAAAGAGAAAGTATTAAATTAACTAAGTATACACTCATCATTAAAACATTATGCCGATACTTCACGCAATAAAACATATAATAGCTCACAACCGAAGTAAATAAACGCCTTTAAAACGATAGACACACCTGAATCTATCTATCCATGTAGCTTGATACAACTACATCTGTAAGCTTAGATCAGTTGTGCCGATTGACCTACAGATACATGCAGATAATAATAATACTTGCAGCTGCCTAACGGTTGTTGAGCAATGATTACGTCACGCAGTTGTAAGCTCGAAAGGAAATGATGCATCGCGCTCGCGATCTCAAGACAACAGGAAGAATGCGCACGCAACTAAGTTTCACTCTCATGAGAACTGACATTAATTACATAAACGGCTATTAATTCGCAATTTGCATTTTATTCAAATTGTTTTTGTATTCTATTAAAATTACAGAAAATTAACATTTATTTATCACTTAATGAGTTACTATTTGTTTGTTAATTATGCAACATTGATGCGAACGGATGTGTATTTTTAGCATCAAAGCCGTCGAACGTCTGTGCATTTACGATGACATTCCATGTTTGTTCCCATTCTGTAACAATCAACTTGTTTTTAAGAAAGTTTATAAAACTCAAGCTATTTTGGGAAAATTTTGTGACTGAGATTAAACAAGACATTTGTATGTAGGTATATGGTCCAGGTTTCGCTAATGTTAGTCGCATCTCTGAATTGCGAACTTGGCTCAAGATTTATGACTTCACAATAAGTCCTAGTTCGGAACGTTTTAATTCCAAAGACATAATAAAAGTTAGAAAAAATCGACTAATGGTAAACTAGATAGGCATGTCACATGACTGAGGTCTTAAAAAAATTACATCGTCCAAGAAGGTTACAAACAACGGATTGCAGGCGACATTAAAGACGCGAAACAGACAATATATATAATATTTACAAAATATTTGCTCTGTCGTCAATCTCCAAAAAATATTACTAAATAATTTATATCATAAACGCTATTATATTAGTGCAATCAGTGTGATTCTGTAAGACTTCATTCTAAACTTCAAATCTGAATCCGCCGTGAGTAGTAGTACACTAGCGCTACACTTGCGAGTTGAATATGGGCCTCTAGCATGGCTTGAAACTAGTCGAGTATTTCGTCAAATTATTACGTGAGTAAGCCGAAAACTTAATAAATAATTGAGTTGAACTAAATTGACAGCATCATTTTGAAAGATAAAGTATGAAATGACATTAAAAGTGGCGTTCAAAAATTTAATTTACCCGTCACTTCGACGCTCACTTCGCACTCGAACACGATTCAAAATCAAACAAATTTTATAGAATCGACGTGCAGGTTAGACTATAGAATCAAAATATCAAAATGGTAAAAACACAATCGGTAAAATGACGAAAGACGTACGACATGATATTGTCGCGAACGAATTAAATAAACGAGTACCTACCTATGTGAGTTTGTCGTCACAAAGTATGACCAATCTTGAGTACAGATCTTAGCAGTTTTGTTATGTAACTAAACCCTGTTGGGTCGCCCTTCACTGATCGTGTAGTTCCGTATAAAGCTCCATACCGCTTTTACTATCTCGCCAGTACTTACGTTTATATTGACATTAAGTGTTTTTGCTATAAGTATGTACCTACACTACGTCTAGTAGTAGCCTGTCAAGGAAGTGAAATAACCAGTGCTGGCTTATCGATGAGTTTGTAAACGAAGCTTCATGAATCACTACGTAGAAAGTAAGTGCGTATGACAATTTAACCGATTACCTATTATGACGCGACTTCCTTGACAAAGGAATTGCATTACTTAGTTTTTCATTATGTTTAAAGACACGCAATTACAAATTGTCGTGACTATGCTTAGTTTAATTAAAAGAGGAACGGTAAATGGTTTTTGAGTTAAAAAAGAAAAGAATTTGGCACTTTCAAGTCGTTGTTTACGTTAGACAAAAGTAGCTAAGTTTATTACCTACAATACAATTTACATTAGACACCGAAATAATTTTGGTTGATAGGTGAATAATGGTGTGTTATTCTACCAAAGAGAAGAGAAGCTCTAATGATAAATCCAACAATTACACACACAAAATCAAGTTTAAAAAGTATGGACAGTTTGATTAGAATTCACTTACCTTAGTTTCTCTGCTGGGCGTCTGCTCACAATAAGTAGCAACCTATGTATACAGTGAGTAACTTGCTGTAAGTATGGGCAGGCGCTATAATATTTTATACAAAAAAGTTGATTAACATTAAAGAAATCTGCACCTTGTTTTGTAACGAAATAAAATTCAAAATATTTTACATTATTTTATATTTAACTTCGCCTATAGATTCGTATAAAAATGCATGAATACCATCGTCGTTCGCACTAAAATAGCTTATAAATTAAGTTAGATTCTAGCTACAAAGGCAGTATAAATAATAGACATATTCACAAAGTAACAAACCAAAAATGACTCACTTCATTCACGGCTTTTGGTGCAGCACTCAGACCTAAGATCACGTACTTATAATACTAAATAGTTTTTAATTTGTCTGACACTACTTAAATTTTGTCACCATAGTTAAGTTTTCCTGTACTTGATCCATCTGTACTTTGTCTGTAATAATTTCCAGATTCTTGCGATTCTTTAGAGTCTATAGCTATAACTTTGTACCTGGACCTACGCTCTTTGTGTGGTTTTGGTACCTCAGAATCTTGTTCTTTGAGCGTGTTCCTGGGCCTGGTTTCATAAGTCGTGACTTCAGTTGTAACAGCTTCCACGCTCTGAGTGTCATAATACGTAGGCGGGGTAGCGGTGGTCGTTGCTACTGTGACCACGAAAGGCGTTGTTGAAGGACTAGGAGCTTCAGCATATTGGTAATTGTCATTAGAAGCCTCAGCATATGAGATCTGGTCGCCTTGCAAGGCCTTTGCTGCCATGGCTGTGTAATATGAGTGAACCGGAGAACTTTCTTGTATTGTAAACGCAGTCGACTGCGCTGAATCTGAAGACTGCTGCTGTTCATAGCTGTTGTAGTTGTCTATTCCCGACGTTGCCGCTCCGTTAAGTGACGTTGCTGAAACACCGGAATCTCCTAAGTGATCTACTGTAGTCTGATGGTCTAGCCCACCAAAGCTTATGTTCTGTGTTGATATGGATTTTTTTTTACCTTTTTTAGGTTGATAGTTTATAAAAGAGGGACTATTATCAGATGTATATAAATTAGATGCCGATGAAGCGTATGAATCTCCATAGTTATTCGTATAAGCATATACATTTTTATTAAATTTAGACAAGCCTACCGTTTCGGCTGTGTGTGGCTTGTAGTCATGGACGACGGTGGACGACACGGCGTATGGTGCCGGGACACTCGTCTGCTGGAGTCGGTAGTCAGACACTTGTTTTCCGTTCCCAAAATATAGTGCTGGTACTACGTTGCGAGTCTTTATTATTCCCTTGTCTTTCACTTTGAAATGGGGAATAGGCCTGTAGTCCTCTATGCTCTGATCAGATGCCGGCTCAAAAGTCGTAGGGATCTTGGGCTGCTGTACGTTTTGAATCTTTTGATACGAGACATATGGGTTATCGTAATAAGTGATATCTGAATAATGTGTAGGTTTATGATGAGGTTTTACATACTTTTGCGAATACTTGCTTTTCAGTCCCTTGGTACCACTAAGGCCAATACGAATAGGGTGATTATTATAAGTCAGTCTCGGCGGAAATGGGAGATGGTCTTTCGTTATATCCACATCGGAGGGAATTTCTCCATGGTCGTGGAATATGTGGTCGTGAGTAACTTCTCGTGGATTATAAGCAGCGTACTCTAAGTGCGGCGGAGTCCCCATAGAGCCTACACCAGCGAAACGAGTGATTGTGTCAGGAGGCATGGCTAGTAGTGTTTGAGAATTCTTCACCGGAATCACAGGGTGTGGACCCGCAAGCCCAGACATACTGCCTTCGGTATCGTACACTAGCTTGTGGATGTGCTCCTCACTGTAGGTGTGAATGTGTTCGGTATCACCGTCGATAATTTTTTCTACTCGTTGCGGCTTCTTTATTTTTCTGATAGTCCCCGAACCATCTAAGTCTGCATAAAAATGTTCATGGAAGGTTGTCACGGGATGTTCCTCCTCTAGTTGACCTGGTTTACCACGCACTACTACTCGTTTCGCCTTGACCTTTCTAGGCACTTTCTTTCTGGGCGGTTCATTCAGTTTTACGATTTTAACTCTTTTCGGGACGTAGTTGGGTTGCGCCGTCGGAGCCGCTGGCGGAGCTGAGAAGGCAGTGGGTATGTATGTTATGTCCGTCGGTTCTGGAGGAGGTGCTAGCTCGTACTCCTGTTCGTCCCACTCGTGCGGCGTGGGCCCGTAGTAGCCGCGCGCGCGGTACAGCGGCAGCAGCTTGGAGGCTGCAGGCGAGATGCCAGGCATGCGCGTGGGCGACTCGTCGTACAGCTCCACTGAGTTGAGAGGCAGCACGTTCGCTACGGTAGGCATTGCGACGTTGCTCGGTACTGCCACCGCACCTTCAGCGCTCGGCATGAAAGCCGGTGCATACTGTGATGACGCTGGGTGGTTAGTTATGTAGATCTTCTTGTGGTGGTGAATATGTTTCACCTTTTGTGGTAGATGTATGCGGATCTTTTTCCTGCAACAAGAAAAAAATAATACTGCTGGTATTCTGTGGTGAGGTAATCGATCGCGTGCATGTCAGGCGGTGCAGTTTTTCTGTTTGTTGTTCCGTCTAATGCAGTGTCAATGGCATGACGCGTGACTCAGTGGTGCGGCTTTCGCTGTCGGATCGGTGGCGGTCGCGACGTCGTCACCACGCTA